GGCCCCTTCCGTGGGTGCCATCCACTTGTGACCCAAGGGGGCATTTCTGGAATGGCCCTCAGTCCCCTTCCCACCATCTCATCAGACAGATGGACAGATGGGCATACCCTGCCCCTCTGGACATCAGTGTCCCCAACTCACTGTAAGGCTTCAAAATGTGTGAATCTGCTTCATAAGTTATAAAGTTATCATTGCTAAGTATTTACCAAAGACACAGTATCCCACTGACTTCCTTGCAGCTCACGGCAGCGTGGGAATCGGGCAGTTTCGCTGCAGGGAGGAGGCAGGTGAATGGACGCCCGGCCCCATCAGTCAAGGTCATGCCTGAAGCCCCGGGCAGAGGCGGGCGCGCCAGGACCTCACGCCCCGAAGACTTGTCCAGGGAATCAAGCACTCAGGGAGACGCGTTCTGGAAACGCAAGCATCTTTAGAAACTTCAGGGACCACCAAGCCCAGCCCTTCCACCCTCGGGGAGGGAGCCTCCACGGGGAGCGGTTCGTCCGCCCTCACCCACCAGCGAGCCCAGCAGGTGCGCGGCGCACGCACCGCGAGGGCAGGTGCACGCCACACACAGCGCGAGGGCAGCTGCTGGTGTGGACATGCCCCCGGCTCCCAGACACACGAGAGCTCGTCCTCAGCATCGTGCGCACGCCAAGGCGACCTCCACAGGCTTTGCCCATGGACCACGAGCCAGGGGTCTCCACAAGCCCCTGTCCTGGGTGCAACCACATTCCCACTCCTGGTCCAAAGCTCTCACCAGGTGGCAAACCTTTCCCCTGGGCAGTCAGAGCCCCAGCCTCAGGCCTGCCCGGGAGACACCGCACTTCCTCTGAGACGACAGGCGAGACAGAGCGTCAATCCTCCCCCAGCGAGCGGGCAGAGAGAAGCAGGTGGTCAGGGTGGCAGAGGCGGGATGGGGAGGAGACTGGGTGGGCACAGGGTCCCTGGACGGACGCCAGAGCAATCCTCCTGGGCTCTGGAGCAGTTCGGGTCTTGCTCGGCTGCAAGGAAAGCTTTGTGTTTTCAGTGGCTCTAGACTGAGCCTCCTCGGAGGGCAGAGAAGCTCGTCGGCCATCGGCTCCCTCTGTCCTGCCGACCACCACAGCTGTCCTGGGCAGGGTGGCCACAGAGATGGCTCCAGGGTCAGCCAGATCCGAACCCTCCCTCCTCTGTGCGAACATCCCTCAGGCCACGCACAGGGCAGCACAGACGCTTTGTCCTGGGACAGCTGAGTCAACATCAAATGAACGTGTCTTATGTTTAGAGAGTGTGGTTAGGTCCGTCCACACGAGCAGCCACGGCACTGCCACGTGCACCAGGGGAGGCCACAGCCCTGCCACGTCTGTCTGCCCGCATCTGTCCACCATTTCCCTCTACGGATGTGCAGCATGGCCTCCATGCACAGGGCCAGTGCCCCAGGACACCCTCGATGCTCCCTCTCCCTCCCTGTCTCTGTCTCCGTCTGTCTGTCTGTCTCCCTCACAAACACGTGCACTCACACAAGCATTTAACCTTGTGGATTAAATCTGAGTCCCACGTGATCACCACACGTGCTTCAGCAGAGCGAAGGAGAATTCACCTGTCTTCAAAACTTTGATCCACTTCCCTTACTTTGAGTGAGTCCCTAGTAACCCCCGCAGAGAGCGTTCCTCTTCTTTATCCGGCTCCCCTTTCCCTCTCCAGGCAGCGAGATTCAAAGCGAAGAGCCCCAGCGTGAGGAAGCAGCCAGCAGGGGTTCTGGGGGCCACCCTGCCCCCCGCAGCTCACTTCGGGGCCAGCTCTCCTGGCCGAGTCTAGGGGACGCCTTCCCTGCCCGGAACCTTCCTTGTCAGCTGGGTGTGGCGTGGCACGCTCCTGGTGGCCTGGTCCCGGGGGTCTGTGTGGCTTCTTCTCAGGCTCCCAAGTGAATCAGGACCTGGAGTCCATCCTGACGGGTTCTCAGCTCCCGCCTGGAATCCTGGCTGCAGTGGGATCCAGGAGCCACGCCCGCAGAGCCACCCTCCACCAGCGGGGAGGCTGGACTGGTCCCAAGTGAAGAGGACAGCTCATCGCCACCCTCCTGCAGGCGTTTCAAGCACTGGGACAGGCACACTGGGGTTTCTGCCTCCGGCCCCTACCGGCGCCTCTGATCCCCGGGCGGCATCTCCACTCCCCCCACCCCCCGGAGGGCGGGCCGAAGCCCTGCCACCCTGCTTCCGCTGTCACAGCCTCGCTGCTCCTGGGGCTTCCATCCACCCGGGTTTGCCCGTCACGGACGCGAGGCTTCTGCAGAGGCCTCTTCCGGGGACACTCAGCCCCGGGACGCCATCCAAGTCGGCGGCTCCGCTGCAGAGCTGCTGGGACGGGAGGCAGCAGCCCAGGCGGGCCTGCGGAGCCAAGATAAAGCTGCGACACATGCCATCCTGCCAGAGGGAGGGTGGCCGGGCTCCCACAGGTGAGCGGCACGGGGGAGACGGCAGCCAGGGACCCTGCCAAAGGCGGAGGACCTGGCAAGGGGCACCCATGTCAGGCATCCTCCAGAGTCTCCTCCTCCAGTCCCGTCCGGGGGACCCACAGCCTCGGCTTGCAGGAAGTCGTCCGGGCAGCTGGGCCCTGAGGGGCGCAGGCACCGAGCAGAGGCCGGGGTGGAAGGTCCTGTCCAAGAAGGGTCCACAGTGTGTTTGGGGGGTAGGTCAGAGCCAGGGCGAGAGCCAGGGGTCCGCCTGATCTGTGCGCTGTGTGTGTGCCAGCTCCCAGTCCCTCGGCGGTCTGACCTGCTCTGTCTCCATGAGCCACAGGAATGCCACTCCAGGGCCGACACTGGACCCTGCACGGACTTGGTCCTAGTCACCTGACCTGTCCATGGCCCCCACCACACACACACCCCCAACACACAGGCCCGGCCACCCCTTTCCTCCTCCCTCTTGGCTGACCCGTGCCCACTGGCCCACCTGGGTCCAGACAGTGGGTGAGTCAGAGGTCACCAGTGGCTCGACAGCCCTCTCCCTCAGGGGCCACTCCAGCCCAGCCTGGGACCAAAGGCACAGGTCCAGCAAATGCCAGGCTCCGGGGCTGCCTGCTCTCCAGGTGTGACGCTGCCCTCAGGCACGACCCGCAGCCCAGAACCTGCCGTCCCAGGACAGCGCACGCTGCCACACCCCTCAGGTGGTCACTTTGTGACCCCTACTGCTTGCTGTGAGAACCCTAAGCAAGGCAAAGCCCCTCCTCACCCCCTTTCTTTGTTCACTGTTTGCACACAGGACCCTGGACGGATGAGAGGGGGCTCCCAACGCCCCAAGGCCGGCCGGGCACGGGGCTGCCCCATGTCCCGTGCGACTTCAGGGACCGGCGAGTGCAGGGAAGCGGGCTGCCCTCAGGCTGAGGCTGTGTGTGCACGTGCACATATGTTGTGTGTACATGTGAGTGTACGTGTGCACATTCATACGTGCACGTTAGCATGTGTGTGTGAATTGGTGGGGGTGGGGCTGGGGGGCCTGGCTTGTCCAAGATCAGGAATTCGGGGCACACAGTAAGGGGTGTCTCAGGGGCCCGGGGCTCTGGCAGGTGAAGAGCGGAGACCAGCCTTTGCGCCCAGGCTGCCCTCCTGTCACAGGAGCCTCTATCACCTCCGGAGGTGATCACGGCCCACTGAGTCCTCAGAAGAATCACCGAAGGAGGAAAAGAGACGTGTTACTTCCAGCATTCTCGGGATGGTGGGTCAGGCCCGGAGGGCTCGCCTGGGGTCGCCCACCCGAAGAGGTAAGAGTCAGGGAATAGATGGGGCGCGTCCGGAATGTGCCTGGGTCCACCCAGGAGTGCGCGGGCCCTTTGGGTGTCCCGGCGTGTGACAGACGGACGTCAGAGAGCCCCCTGGGCCCCAGCTCCCCAGGTGCAAAATGAGGGGCCTCTTCCAGGTCGAAGAGGATCACAGAGCTGACTCAAAACTCGCAGGAGGCGACTAGCTACAGATGGGACAGAAGCCCCCAGAAGTCCCTCTGGGCACCTGTCCGCGTCACTGCAGCACAGCCTGAGCCCAGCTTGCCAGCTCGCTCCTCTGCCAGGAAGCCGGGTGGTCTGGTACCTGTCAGGCCAGCCTGCCGGCGGCCGGCCAAGGCCCCCGCTCCAGTGCAGCAGTCTGAAGTGTGATGTGTCTACATTGGATTTTTCCTCCTTCCCTCCAGCTGCCACGTGAAGTCTGGCAGAGATGAGGGTGTTGGGGAAACATCTCCTGCTCCACCGAGGAAGGTTTCTAAGGAGGAGACAGTGTCAAACCAAGGTTTATGCCACCCCCAGGGCCTCGGGGCGGGCGGCTCCCACTTCTGCCTCCACCCACACACGGAACCCCACGACCCCGCCAGGCACACGGCCACTGACCGCCCTCCAGGGGCCTCCCTGGGCTCAGCCCCAACGCCCTGCGGCAGAACCCCGGGGGGAAGAGGAAGAGGCCGAGGAGAGGCCTAAAGGGGAGAGACTCAAAGTCGATTCCCCAAGCGATATGAACAAACAGGGAGAAACAACAAACAGAACACAGGGAGCTAAGCCGTTGCCCTGTGAAGCGTCCTTTATATCCCCAGCTGATGCAGAGGATTCTGCTTATAATTCAAACGCTCGAGCATATCTTCCAGAAAGGTGTTTACAGAGCCAGGCATTCTGATTGAGAACATGTCCCGTGAGAGCCGGGGCCGCTGGTGGTCAGCCCAGGGGAGGCGCTGGGACTCAGGACGGACGCCTCCCCGGGGAGGGCAGGGCTGGCAGAAGAGGCTGGAACCACCTCCACCTGCACCCTTTCCCCTCTGCTGCCAGCCCGTCCCCGCCCACCTGCCTCGGACACGTGCACCTGTTCGGAAATTCTGTCTGCCTCCACCCCTCATGGCCCAGGAGGAGAGTGGGCTGTGAGCCAGTGTTCTTGGTGAGCCCCGTTCTGGAAGCATCTGGCAGGTCAATCCCCTGACGCCTGGAGGAACACGGGGGCCTCCTGGAGGGTGAGCCCAGAGTCCCCAACCTCCAGGACACACTCACACCCGGCCTTGAATGTAACAGAGAGGCCCCTGGGGAAGGGCCTGACCGCCAGGATGGGACCAGGCCCTGCCACGCTCTGTGGCTGAAGCCGAGAGCCATGGGGCGAACACAGTCTGTGGTGAGCTGGTCAGGCCCTTGTCTCTGGGACCCTCGGCCCCCCAGCCCAGCAGCCCGGAGCCTGCTGCGTAGACAGACAGGTTCACACAGGGCTCCCCGATTCCCACACCCGCCCTACACCAGGGCCACACGCACACACGTGGGCCATGGCACGGTACACACAGCCTCACGGGTGTCCGTGCACGCCACACACACACACCAGAAACACTCCACACCAGGGTCCCAGGAGCACACGCACCGCACGCCCGCACATGCACACCGCACAGGACAGGGCGTGTGGCCGGAGGAGGTCCCTCTGGGCTCCTCTGGGCTCCTCTGAAGCGTCAACCTTTCGCCCCACCTCCCCCACTGCCAGCGGCTGCCTGTTTCATCTTTCTTCCTTTCTCCTTTGGTCCCTGCTTGAGCTGGCAGGAAACCGGAGGAGGGAGGGAGAGCAGAAGGGAGACAGATGAAAGGGCCAGTTAGCTGAGACAGAAGCTGGTCACACGTAGAGACAGAGTGCTAGGTGCTGCCTGGGAGCAGGGCTGGGGTGCAGCGGGGGCGGGGGGAGGGAGGGGAGCTGGAAGGGGAGAGTCTGGGAGGAGAGGAAGGCCCGGGAGGGGAGGGGGTGGGTCCTGGGAGGAGGGCCAGGAGGGGGCCTAGGGAGCTCGTGTCTGGGAGCCAGGGGACGTCACCCAGGTCACAGCCCAGGGCATCTGCGCTCCCGGGCCTGTGTGTCTCCCTCCCTCAGTGAGCACCCTAGAGGGCTCTGCAGGACCTGCCAGATCCGGCCAGGCCTGGGCCCTCCCAGGACGCATCGCTGAGCCTGGCTTGTCCACAGGCACGACCTCCTACCAGGCCCCCAAAACCTACCCCGGGCCTGCAGGGCCCTCAGTGCCACCCTCCCTCACGCCCTCCAGAGGGTCTGTCCCAGACGCTGGCTTGCTTGCTTTTTAGAGTGCTTTATAGAGCAGCTTCAGGTTCACAGCAAAGTTGAGGGGAACGTCCGGAGATTCCCCACAAACCCCCGTGCTGCACACGCACAGCCTCGCGCTCTCCAAGTGGACGAAGCAGCCCGGCACGTGGTCGTCACCCGGCGTCCAGGGCCGGCGAGGCTCGCTCTGGGTGCTGGGCCTGCAGTGGGTTTGCACGGATGTATCGTGACATGTACCCACATCTTCTTTCTTTCCTCTCTCTTTTTTCTCTTTAGAGTTTTACTTACCTGCTTCCGACTCTAACCAGGCCCCTCTGGCTGTCAGGAGAACCCCCAGCCCTTCAGGGTCACGTCCCGGGACCTGAGCAGCCTGCTTTGTCTCCTCCTGCCCTAAAGAAGCTGATCTGAATTTATGTCCCAAACTGGGATGCTTTGGGAGTGAACAGGACAGGCTGCCATCAGCAGTGGCTCTGGAGCAGCAGACAGAAGGCAGGACCGTCCCTGGCAACCTCGCCGTGCACACCCGACACCCACACACCCCACAGCACCTCTGGCCCTGAACATGTGCTGTGTTCACCTGGGCAGCCTGGTGGCTCACACGTGCCCAGAGCACGGTCCTCATCCATCTCTCGTCACTTCGGTCAAGACCTGGCCCTGCCCTCACCGGCCTCGCCCCTCCCACCGGCTGGCTGGAAGCTCTGCTCAGGGCCGGCTTCACACGCCACAGTGGAGGGGCCCCGGTCCTGCCAAGGGAACCCTCACCAGCCCTGCCGGCTCTCACATTCCCTCCCACCCCTCCCAGGCCTCCGGAGGACAGAGGATATGATCCTTTGTCAACAAGCATTTATTGATAATCATCGGATAGGGAAGGGACCCTCCTACACTGCTGGTGGGAATGCAGTTTGGTGCAGCCACTGTGGAGTACAGTATGGAGATCCCTTCAAAAGCTAAAAATAAAGTTACCATATGATCCAGCAAACCCAGTCCTGGGCACATATCTGGGGGGAATTCTAATTCAAAAAGACACCTGCACCCCAATGTTTACAGCAGCACTGTTTACAACAGCCAAGGCATGGAAACAGCCTAAACGTCCATCGGCAGAGGACTGGACAAAGATGTGGTACTTATACACACTGGAACGCTCCTCAGCCATAAAAAAGAATGAAATAATGCCATTTGCGGCAACATGGATGGACTTGAAGATTGTCATTCTAAGTGAAGTAAGTCAGAAAGAGAAAGATAAATACCATATGATGTCACTTACATGTGGAATCCAAAAAAAATGGCACAAATGAACTTATTTACAAAACAGAAATAGACTCCCAGACACGGAAAACAAACTTATGGCTACCAGGGGGAAAGGGGTGGGAAGGGATAGATTGGGAGTGTGGGATCAGCAGACACTAACTACTGTACATAAAACAGGTAAACAGCAAGGCCCTACTGTACAGCACAGGGAACTGTATTCAGTAGCGTGTGATAACCTAATGAAAAATATATGTGTATATATGAGAATCTGGGAAAGAATGCATAATGTAACACTTGACTCACCG